ATGGATAAATCTGTTGTAGAGTTGTCACTGGTTCAGACGTACTTATATATATATATAATATATATATGAGTCTAAAAGATTGTGTAACAATACCGATAAATAGATGGAAAACAAAACACTAAAAAGTGTTGAATATCATCGCACAAAGATGGAAAAACTGAACAGATGATATAAATTATACAATAATTGCAAATATTTCGGCTCAACAAACGGCCTTCCTCAATGTTAAAAGTTTTAACAATACTGATATATAATGTATAAGATGTAAACATAGATCAGTAATAATACAGGTAAGTTTTGGTCGATTGATTTTAATCCAAAATCCTGAATATCATAATATAAACATTAGACTGTAAATTTAATTATTTCTTTCTATTGATTCCATATATAATATATATATATATATATATATAAATATACAAAAGTGTTAACAAGTGTTTTATTTTTTCTTTCAGATGACCATTCAAGGATTGTCTTGACAGGAAATACAAAACACGATTATATAAATGCTAGTTATATTGACGTAAGATTTTAACGTTTATTGCTTTAATTCTTACTTTTATAGTAACTTTCTTTATAATACAAATGGAACACTGTGAATATAAAAAAAGAATCCTATCTCTGTGAACTGTCGAACATAGGTGCAGAACTCGTAAAATTACATAAGTCATAACAGATGCAAATTGACACTTTTATGCTAGAAAATAATGAAATTAATACTAATATATTATTATCTTGAAGATTACAATAATTTTAAGCTCATTTTATTTCAGAGTTATGACAAAGAAAGGGCATACATAGCATCACAAGGTTTGTTGAAGCTATACTTATTTAGCAAATTATTTTTATTTGTTATGTACATGTACTTGCAGATTTCCATTGTATTAACAGATTAAGTAACTCATTAAAATCAGATAATAACATTTATAATTCACTTTCTTTTAAAAACTTTTCCAGTCCTATGGTTCTCTTTCAACACATTAATTAAATATTGTAACTGAATACCTGTTGGTTTATTATTATAATTATTTATTTATTATGCTTTAATCAAATGTATCATACTATCAAGTCAGTATTTATAAACTCTTGTGTTGTGTTCTTAAAGGTCCAAAAAAGATTACTCTTAGAGATTTCTGGCACATGATCTGGCAGGAGAAAGTTTGCAAAATAGTGATGGTAACGAAACTAGAAGAGGAAAGAAGGGTATATAAATGTTTTATAAATTCTAATTTCAGGTATTTTTAGATAATACATGTATCAATTTGCACAGGCACACCAAATTGACTTTGAATAGAAACAAAATCTTAATTTATAAAACAGAACAATGAAGAAAGAATTGTAATTGTTTGATTATGTTTTGCTTTTTAATATGTATAATTTTGAATGCTTGGTTTTTTGTTGTTTTTTTTTCGTGAGGAGTTTGCTCGTTTTCTTTTGCATTAAGTTCTTTCTTTTAATTATTTATGTTTACCTGTTGAAAATGTATTTTGTTTTTATTTTTTGCTCTTTAATAATTTGTAATAATTAGTAATGGGCAAGTAAACGACAAAAAAAACTATACGACGACATAGCCATTGGTCAATGGAAAAATGCGTATATTTTTTTTTTTTTTTTTAAATTATTATGTTCATAAAATGAAATTTGTTATCTTTAACACTGACACGAATAGTAAACTGTACTGTAAAAACTTATATGAAGAACCAGTCTTCTAATACAGTAGGCCACACGTGTTTGTTTCTGTAAAATTCACCAGAACTAGTATTGTGATTGCTGTGTCTCATTTCACTAATCAGAGTATATTGAAATTTTATGTTCTAAAACAAGGCCTTAAAATTGTTTGATTGTGTAAAAAGCGAGCGTAATTCATTTAAGTTATGGTTATGATTGGAGTATATATTAGATAATGAATCTGTATGATGCATCTGTCTCAAAACATAGGTTGATATGTAGTACACTGTGTGTGAAATAATACATATCATAGCTTTATACATGTCACGTACACTTTGGAATTTCTTAATTTCAGAAAAAATGTGAACAATACTGGCCTCAGAATGTCAATAGGACATTGATAGTAGACAATTATAAACTTACAATGAAAGAAGAAATCCAGCACACAGTTTATGTTTACCGACTGATTATACTACACAATAAAACGGTAACTCTAATATATTAAGACCAGTTAATTTCAAAAATATTGTTAGCGTAAAAAATGCAAACAACACGTAATAAATTTCACGGGTCCGAAGCGCTTTTCTGGATTTACCTTCATCAGGAACGCTCAAGCCGAATATTTTAAAGCAAAGAATGTATAAGAATCGAAACAGTTGAAGAACTATATAATAAAAAAGGACCTTAAATAATAGCCAAATACTTCTAAGGACAAGTTTGCTTGAGGGAGTTGAAACCTTAGTTTCTTAATAATTTCAAAATTTATAAACGGACAATGTTAAAAAGTTGGTATAATTCATATCAGTATTGAAATACTGACTACTGAGCTGATGATACCCTCGTGGACTGATAGTCCACCAGCAGAGGTATCGACATAGTGCTGTAAAAATGAAAACAACACGTTATAAAGTTCATGCATCCGAAGCGCTTTTCTGGATTTACCTTCATCAGAAACGCTTAAAGCCGAAAATTTGAAAGCCAAGATTGTATAAGAACCGAAACATTTGAAGAGCTATATAATCAAAAAGGACCAAAAATAATAGCCAAATCTTTCTTAGGCGAACTTTGCATGAGGGAGCTGAAACCTTAGTTTCTTAATAATTTCAAAATTTATAAAAGGACAATTTTAGAAAGTAAATGTATAATATTCATCAAAACAACAATTCCAGGAGGGATTAGCTCTACAGAATAGACAAAATAAATATTTAACATATTCTTCTTTAAATTGGTAGAAAAATTACTATATTGCACATTTCCTAGGTTGTATAAATACTTATATGGCATGACACGGGTTGTGTTCTTCTCATATATTTTATGACGGTATAATACTAAACCCCTAACAGGAGGGATTGTGCCTGATATTCATATGATGAAGACATAATCTTTCAATCAGTTTAATTGTGGTCTGGAGCTGGGATGTCAGTAACTGCTAGTAGTCTGTTGTTATTTATGTATTATTGTCATTTTGTTTATTTTCTTTTGTTTCCTATTCTGACATCGGACTCGGACTTCTCTTAAACTGAGTTTTACTGTGCGTACTGTTGTACGTTTGTTTTTTCTACATTGGCTAGAGGTATAGGGGGAGGGTTGAGATCTCAAAAAACATGTTTAACCCCGCCGCATTTTAGCGCCTGTCCCAAGTCAGGAGCCTCTGGCCTTTGTTAGTCTTGTATCATTTTTAATTTTAGTTTCATGTGTATAATTTGGAGTTAAGTATGACGTCCATTATCACTGAACTAGTATACATATTTGTTTAGGGGCCAGCTGAAGGACGCCTCCGGGTGCGGGAGTTTCTCGCTGCATTGAAGACCCGTTGGTGGCCTTCGGCTGTTGTCTGCTCTATGGTCGGGGTGTTGTCTCTTTGACACATTCCCCGTTTCCATTCTCAATTTTATTATAAAATACTGCTGTTCAATTAGAAATTCAAATCTAAAAATGCAACATTCAAAAACTTTAAACTGACTAAAAGTTTGAAAAAAAGGTCTTTCGAAAAACATGCATTGTTTTCAGAACAAGCCATCATTATTATCTTATATTATGAGTATCAATGATAAATTAATACAAATGAGATGTACAAATTACTCCAAATGATAGTGAACAGATAAACATCATAAAGGAATTGCTGCTTTAGTTGTTATGTAAAAGTAACTCAAATGCAATAGGAAATAAATCATTAATTGATTAATAAAATACAAAATACAGTTATTAATCAAAAAGTTGTTTGTAGAATATAATTCTATGTATTTTAAGAACCAGCAAGAACGGAAAATTCATCATTTTCATTTTACACAATGGCCGGACCATGGTGTTCCAGATAGCATCAAATTGGTAAAATTTTACAGAAAAGTCAGATGTGAAAAACATGATACGAGTGGACCAATGGTGGTGCACTGCAGGTTTGTGTACTTAAAAAATGAAAATAACACTTTATAAATGTTATGCGTCCGAGGCGCTTTTCTGTAGTTACATTCAACAGAACGCTAAAAATCATATATTTAAAAGCCAAGGATTTATAAGAATCGAAAAAGGTGAAGAACTATATGACTAAAAAAGACATACAAATGAAAGCCAAAACCATCTTAGGTTTAACTATTCTATTAGTACGATGTATTTGTGTACTTTTAGTCGTTTATATTATTACAACTCATATCCGATTGTAATTATACATTAAACATGTTAAACCTTAGAGTTTATGGTAATTTCTTAAATAAACAGTATGGAGCTATTTCTCTGAGTGATCTTTACAAAAACTTATTTTAATAAGGAATTCGTCCAATATATATATTTACATGCTGACATGTATGAAAAAAAACAACATATGGAGAATGCATTTAATGGGTTGAAAATAATTGACATGACGGGTTTTACAGTCATGAGTATTATGGAACCGTTCCGGTAAAATAATAATGAGATAATACGCGTTATTTTATAAATCATTTTGTACTTACATGTAAGTCTATGGGTCTCTATAACGTTCAAGTATATTTTCCCATTCCTTTGCGTTGAGATCACCCACAAGATAATCTAATTCAACGCTGATATCAAATAGGGTCATCTTTCATGGATTGAGGTACTAATGATGTAAAGTCAGACGTTTTATAGATTTCAAAACTTGTTGAGATTTTCTTCCCAACAGTGGTTTTGGTGGTAGCAAAGACTCTTTTTGCAAGAAGTATGTTTTATGGACGATTTAAAATGGTTTCAACTTCCCTTTTCTCAGCAGTACAATAGTTTGAAAACATCATATTCAAATTTAGAATTCTACGGCTCTTAAAAATAAAAGATGTATGTAGACTCCTGGCTGTCATTTATATCAAGCATATATGTTTCAGTGCTGGTGTTGGAAGGACAGGTACATTCATAGCTGTAGATGCCCTTTATGAGCATGGAAAGAAAGTTGGTTACGTTGATATAATGGAGTATGTTCAGATGATGAGGAAAGACAGAATGAATATGATTCAAACACATGCAAGTAACATTTTAAAGGAAAATGCATAACAAATATATTGGCATTAATTAACAGCCAGTTATACAGTCTCTCTGAATACACCTAGACCTTACAAAATGTAGTTAAGGTATACTTAATTCATCAAAAGCCTATCTAATGGTATTTAAATAAAAGTTGTGTCAATCTATTTGTTATTATTACGTTAGGTTCTAATTAAGTCTTTTAGTCTTAGATACATGATTTTTTTTTAGTTGTTATTAGCTTTGAACTAGCTGTCGCTAACTGCGAATACTCTCAGATCTGTACTTAGTGTCTTTGAGGTTGTTAGGGATGAGGGATGCATATATACCATGCCACGTCCTGTCTGTGTTTTTGTTTGATGTTTTTTCTTTGTATCGATCTGATCAATTAATATAAATAAGAAGATGTTGTATGAGTGTCAAATGAGACAACTCTCCATCCAAGTCAAAATGTACAAAATGTTAACATTTATAGGTCAAAGTACGGTCTTCAACACGGAGCTTTGGCTCACACAGAACAGCAAGCTATAAAGGGCCCCAAAATGACAAGTGTAAAACAATTCAAGAAGGAAAACCAACGGTTTAATCTCTATAAAAAACGAGAAACAAGAAACACCAATGAAGCACATCAACAAACGACAACCACTGAACAACAGGCTCCTGACTTAGGACAGGTGCATAAAAATGCAGCGGGTTTAAACGTTTTAACAGGCGCTAACCTTCACCCTAACCTGTGACAGTAGTAAAACATTACCACATAAAAAGACGCACTATAAAATATCAAATGAAATGGCTTAACTCGATCGAAAAGACATTTAAACAACAACAAGTAATCATACACTGAACGAATAAGTTTGATCTATAACACAGTATAAATACAATATTAAAACGTAGGTGGCTATATAACATTCCTTTTGTATTGTTTGTTCTTATATTGTGCTGTTACATCACTGTCTCAGGTTAGGGGAGGTTTGAGCGCTCACAGACATGTTTAACCCCGCCACATTCTTCATGTGCCTGTCAAGTCAGGAGCCTGTAGTGGTTGTCGTTGGTTCATGTCTGTCTTATTTGTTTTTCGTAAATTACTTTGTTATAAACTATACCGTTAGTTTTCTCAATTGAATTGTTTCTTATTTTAAATGTCGGTGCATTTTATAGCCGACTATACGGTATGGGGTTTTCTTATTGTTGAAGGCCGTACGGTTGCATATAATTGCTTACATCCACTTCATTTGAACTTTAGTGTATAGTTGTCTCATTGGCGCTCCTACCACATCTCCTCATTTTTATATGTACACTTTAAAATATGTTTTAATGGATAAATGTATACACTTTGCTTTACAACAAGGACTACACGGACACATAAATGAGTTTTTGCAAGCTGGAAAATTAATTTTTAAAGCTCGGGAAAGGAAATGGTTTGTTATCGTGGTTTTACCATGTTGATGTTCAAAATGCCCTCTCGTGAAGACAGATTGACAGTGCGGAACCGGTAATGACTCTCAAATACCTGTAAGGTATTGTCTTTTAACCATGGTTTGACTAGTTAACTGCACAAGACACTTGTACACCTTTGTCATTGGTTAGACTGAGACAGGAAATGGTTACATGGACTACTACTTTCTGTTGATAGCGTCACCCTTGAACAAGTCATTGTTTTTTCTTCAAATCTTTGGTAGAGTATGTCACTATTTCGTACATTGTAGTTGCTTTTAGTTATAATTGTGTGTCCATTATATGAATCGGGGAAGTAATTCATTGATTATTATAAGTCTAGCTTTTCGGTGTGACTTAAATAAGATATCATTTGAAATGTGATTGTGGCGGTGTACTGAACTTATTTTGTTTATTGTCTATAATGGTTAAACGTATATAAGTTAATAAAAACACAAATTGCTCTTATTGCGTATCCTTTTACATTATCTTTTAATTTTGTAGGAGCAATATGCGATCGTGTTTGAAGCACTGCTTGAATTATTCACAGTTCCAGATACATCAATTCAAAAGAATAATTTCTGTGAATATATACAAAAGCAAGAAAACAAGACAAAAAATCAAACAATATACAGAAAAGAGTTTCAGGTACTCAATACATTGTACATCTTTTCATTTAATTGTTAGCTTGTTATATTTCATTTTAGTTAAACAGACACTTGTGAGACGGTCGGCATGTAGTATGATTTTTGCAGATATTATTGCTAATGTTTTAAGATTAGGCTGTTTTAACTTTTAATTTTCAAGGACTCATTCTTTTTTTGGTTATATGTTTGTGTCATATACGGTACAACCAATAGTTTAATATAAAACTTCGAACCCAAAGTGTTGTCGAAACGTCAGAGCATAATAGTTTTTAATGTATCGGGATTTCTACATCACTGTGGGTTCTTTATCAAATATATATAGATATATGTGTTGTAGTTGTTCAATAAATAATTCACTAGCAGGATGTTTTATATTTTTGATTTGTTTATAACTTTTGGTTGTAGGGACTTCATTTCATATATTCCAATAGTCTTTAAATATTAAGTAGTTTAGTATTTACAAACAAAGTACGTGAGGCACTTCATGATTTCAATGGTGCTTTCTTTGTCTATGCCAACTATTGATCGAAATTAGCAATATCATTTCATTTACTAAAATGCAACCATTAAGACTCTTTATGTGACATTTGGAAGACACAAAAATGTTAGTGCATTGTCAGAATGAAAATCAGGTGAAATTGTGAGTTTTTGGCTATTACTGATGCAAATTAAATGACCGATATAGATGTGAAAATAATCCTTTTCCATACTTTTTGGTTCTAGGCTGATACTTATCTAATTTGCAATCGCCCTACAGCTTCTTAATTTTACCATTTTCTCATTTCAACACTTTAGAGATTGCGAACGCTGCGGCCATCATATTCTTCTGATCAGTTTACTTCTGCAAGTTCAAAAGAAAACAAATCAAAGAATTCTACAACTGTTCTTGCACGTAAGAAATGTTTAATTCAAATTGCACATTTTCATAAATTAACGTTTCATACGAGTGTTTTGTTGTAAATATCATGTATTATTATATGACTATACAATTTCTGGTTTTCTCATTGGCTAAAAGCATAGGAAATCCTCTTTGATAAAAAATTATATTCACCGCGGCAAAAATCACGAGAGGTTAATATAAGATTTGTAACAGCGTCCATGTACCTAAATATAGATAATCCAAGGCAACATCAATAACGTGGGTTTATGGCGTCATGTAAATTCCGTTTTTTTTTTCTTTTTTTTTCTTTCGGTGTATTTCTTCTCTGCTTCTTGTTTTCGGTGTATTTGTTTATTAAGCTTTATTTCAATCACTGCAAAAGCAGATGATATATTTAGTATAAAAACAGGGAGCAGTTTTAAAAGTATCTTGAGCAAATACTAAAAAATTGGAGAAGGATAAAAAGTCATACAATAAAACAATTGTTGACTTTTAATTTCAGTTGATACATTGATTACCATTGGCCTCGGTGAATATCATATATCTGGGGTTGATAAATCAAGAGTCAATAATTGTATAACATCATTAATGTAACGTTAAAATAGTAAAATTTCCCAAAAGTCAATACATCAACTTTGCGTTATCAACAAAATGCAATCCAGTACAGTATGATGCAGCAAATCATAAGTTGGTTTTAAATAAAATTACAAAACGCAACCAACTAAAACAACATAAAACATGGACTATGTGTACATTTTGATACCCTGCGAATGTATAGATTGTAAATAAGGATAAGGAAAATGCAAGTTAGTCGTTAAAAGGGTACAAAGAACAAAAACCCGAATAAAATAGAATGTGTGCAAGCATTTTGCTACAAATATAGCCATTCTCAGTCAGCTTTCATCGATCGAAAAATACCACCTTTACTGGTTTTTTTAATTGCATATACAAAATTACTTTTTTCGAAAATTATATTTCCAAAGAAATAAAGCTTATGTATCCAGCATAACACATACACGTTTGCCGGTTTAAATGAAAAGCAATTAATATTTGAATAACGCTGTCTAACATATTTGTTGTAGATGACAGATATAGGCCATATTTAATGTCTTATGGTAAAACAAGAAGTGACTACATCAATACTGTAATAATTCCAGTGAGTAAATTTTTTACACCATCAATCTATTGTAATTTTTTTCAGTTCTAGTTATCCATTTAAAATATAAATTCATTTCAAACATCACAGGCAGACTCATCACAGATGCAATATCTGTGCTTAACTTATTGCTATATATCGGGCTACATGTTTCATAATACAATACATGTTGACATAGTCATTTGACCTTTCTGCTGATTATTTGAAAACGGCTAAAAGGCACACTGTATATATTTGTGTATTGAACATAGAATAAGTTACTTGAAGAACGACGATGTTTTCTCCTAGGTACTAAAATTTCGTCTTCAAAAGAAAATGTATTAATGGAAGGCAACAATGGCATACAATCCATCAAACAATTCAAACATTTGAATTGGTAATCCTGCAATATATTGCGTTTATTAGGAACATTATAAATGTTTGTTCACATTTGTCGAACTCTATATAACTTTTATATACATAATATATAACAAATCTTGATAAAATGTTTAAAACTGTATTCATCTTTAATATTCATTTGCTTTAATTATAATGGTTGTTTCTTATCCTTATGCATATTTTGTCCATTTCCTCACAGGGCTATGCAGTTGGTAGTAAAATGTTTGTAACACAGTGCCCACTTGTAGAAACTGTAATTGATTTTTGGACAATGATGTATGATCACAGTTCCAGAATTATTGTTTTGTTGGATCCTGGAAATAAGGTTAGAATCATTCATTTTAAGTCGGTATACATCAAGTATTCAGCAAACACTATTTTTAAGATATACACTTTTGTCTAGTGGATTTAAGTCTGTCCTCATTCAAATGTCGAATCCACGACGAATGAAAAATAAACTAAATCATTTGCATCAGAACCTGACATTGCTATGGGAAAATACACAATTTTCACTGGGAGGCATATGGATATTCACCTGCTGATGAATTTACTTTTCATCATTTAATATCTCTCAACTAATCTATGACGGATTTGAATAAATTTACGTGGTAAATATAAACAATAAGTACTGCAAACCAACTACCTTTTGAGACAGAATGATTTCTGCGACTTATGCGAATAAGAATATATTGTTAATATAAGTCGTCGCAAAAGTGTAACATGTACTCTCAAGTATGAATAAAGCAACAAAAAACGAAAATAGTTTGTTTGGATGTCTTCTGAAATAGCCATAACGGGGGAAAACATTCACCAAGTTGGGCTTGTTAAGAGTATTTTGGATGCGTTCGTATATGGAAAGATTTTTTTCAGAGAATTTAGGGCTTTTTGTTTCTTTTCTTTAGGGAGCTCCATTATGGCTGGAGAAGAAAGAAATGCTACAATTTGATGATTTCCGTATTATCAAAGAAACGGAAAATGCACAAGAAGAGCTTCAGCTTACTTTAAATCATACGGTAAGAAGAAATTTTTAAAAAAATTTTTAATTAATTTTGGCAACATTTTATCCCCGGGTGAACAAGGATGTGGTGTTATTAACACCCGGGTGTTTAACCAATCAGATTGCAATATTATTGCATTTATTTTATCTGTAGTAAATGTGGAGATGAACATTTTGTATTTTTCGTTAACCAATGAAACATTTTTACGACAGTTGTTATTATTTTTAAAATCATCTTCATAAGAGGATATGAATGGAGTTTACAGAGTTTTATGGACGAAAAAAAACACAAAACAGTTACAAAAAATTAAGAAAAGACAATAATGACCGATTTATTTTAAAGAGATATATGCCCAAAGAAATAAGACTACACGAAAGGAAGATTCCATTATCAAGACCCTTTGATATCTGCAAATTACATGATTTATTTCTCTGTTAGCTTGATATATTATACATGGGTATAATGTTGTTTTTCTACTACGATGTATCTTCTTAGAAAAAGAACAGTATTATAAATAATGGATTAAATGTATTGTATTGCAACCTTAAGGTAAATGTGTATTCTAATTGATTTTTATTTAAGTTTAATCATTTCGTTAAAGTATTCTTCTTAATATCTTGAATGCAATTGAACAATAATTTGCAATATATTTTACAAAAACACATTTTTAGTCTGATGTACGTAAAACTTTACAGAAAAATAAAGAACAAATCTCAATAAATGTTTTCACTGCTGACGATTGGACGACCAGTAATGCACCACCCTCACCAGAGTATATGTTAGATCTTCTGCAGCGTGTTCAAAATTGCTGGGAAACGGAGAAAGTTCCTATAACTGTAGTTTGTAGGTACGTTCTCAGAAACAAAATGTAGATTATTTTAACGGTATACCTATATACTTTATGCCAGTGCCTAATTTACCGAGTGGTCTAAATTGTTTATCTACAGCAATGTCTATGCTGTCAACAGTTAGATTGTGAGTTAGAAACCCGCAAGCGGCAGGTGCTTTCCACTCGGATCCTAATTATAATATACTTGAATTGACAGTTTTTCTGCTGAATGTCGGTGGTTCTATCTGTGCATTCTGTCTTCCTCCGCAACAAAAAATAGCCACCACAAGCCAATTTTGTTGAACGTGGCGTTAAACACCAAAAATCAATCATTATTATATTATGCCGTTGTCACAACTATTATTTTTCAAAATTGTACAATATAAAATTTAAGAGAGGTGGTATGATTGCCAATGAAACAACTATCCATCAAAGTTCAAACGAAGTGAATGTAAGCAATTATAGGCAATCCGTATGGCCTTCAACAATGAAAAAAACCCATACCGTATAGTCGGCTATAAAAGTCCCCGGCATGAAATTAGTTTTACTTATTTTATTCTATACATTTCATGTCATAAAAGGACGTTAATAAAATCAATCGCTTAAAGTGTCGATATTATAATAATACAAATAAACAGAAGATGCAATCCCAAATCAAAAGTTGACGAAAACACAGGCAACACCATGGTCAAAAGAAAAAGCTGACGAAAGGAAAACAGTACGTAAAACGTTAGTATACATACAAATAATGATAGAGCAACGTGAACTCCAAAATAAAGTAAGCGTGAATTCAACTGCTCCAAAATAGTAAGCAGTAACCGTTCTTCTAGTGGCAGTTGTCATAAGAACGCTGATTTATTACAAATTTATTAGAATCTACTTTAAATGAAAATAGCATTTTGGTAATTTCGTGTGTCCGAAACGCTTTTCTAGAAGTACCATCCTTCGAAACCTCCAATAAACCAGGTATTACTCATTTCGAAGTTCATGCGATTCACTCATTTTTTTGTTTGTTACATTGATTTGAACATCGGTAAACTATTGTTGGCTAAATTCAGAATAAGCATTTGAAGATTTAACTACATCATGTAATCCTGATATACGTATAAAATCAGGACCATGAAGATATAACAGATTTATTACCAAATTATGACTATCATTCTATTTTACTTGAGTGAAAACTCATGAAATAATCATAAAAAATAACCATTTTTCCCGCGGGAAACTGCGAGTAGACGAAATTTATGATTTGGAATGTGCACGTTGTTAAAATAACCCTTTTCCTTCGGTATGATATTGCACGTAGGCAAAATAATTGACTGGGAATGTCCGCGTAGTAAAATAAAATCTGTAAAATTTGGTTCGGTTTTATACGTCCGTCAGAGAATAACTAGTTTTCATTTGATGGCAGCCACAAGATTTGGTTCCAGTTCTTATTCATGTATGGACATTTTTATATAACAATAAAGACTTTAAAAACACAAAATATACAACAAAAGAAGCACATCTTCATAATTTTTATTTACTTCAGTTATACAATACAATTAGGTCCTTCATAAAAAGATAATAATCACATCTTGACCTTGTGAAAATAAATTTTCTTGATTTAATACGTTTTATATAAAGTTTTGATAAAGGTCATACTTATATATTATTATCATTATTTATTTTAATTATAAAAAAAAAATATGTAAACATTATTTCGCAATTTTTCTCAACATTTCAGTGATGGCTGTAGTAAGAGTGGGCTATTTGTTGCCTTAAGACTGGTTTTGGAAAAAATGCAGATAGATGAGGAAATCGATATTTTCCAAGTAGTTAGAGAAATTCAAAAGAGGCGACCAGAATTCCTAACGGAATTTGTAAGTATGCAATGACGGAAAATAATTCTTACATGTATAAAATGTTTTCTAACGTCAAATGTTGCGGTAAAAAATGTGTACAGTCCTATAAGTTGACAAATACGCATTGCCAAATGAAAGATACGAATCAGATATTTTCAAATACTCAATAATGATTGAGAGCTAAACAGTAAGACAACATTGATAACATCAGGTTTTTAATTGTTTACTTGCCATTTATATATGCAAATATTCCAGCTGCTTATGCACTTGAAACGATATTGCAAAGCATGTGTACCCTATCATTATTTTTTACAGAGTAATTATATGAAAGACAAAAGTAGTAAACCAAGAATTATCAAAATGAAGTCTTGCTTCGAAGATTTTGTTGACGTCAATATATTGATATTTCAGCAGACAGTCGGTATTCCGTTGGGTACTAATTGTACACCACTATTGTTCGATTTGTTTTTGAAGTGAAACAGAACCTTCTGAAAGACAAAAAGAAAAAGCATATTGCAAAGTGCTTTAATTTCACATTCAGATATATTGATAATATTCTATTACTCAATAAACCATATTTCAACGAGGGCTTACATATCATATATTTCAGTGAACTTAAAATTAAGGATACTACCAAAAGTAGAATGTTTGCGTCATATTTTTCCCCGATATTGACATAGATGGACTATTGCAGGGTCGGTTCAGAAGAAATATTTTCGACAAAATAAATAAGTTCAGCTTTCTGATTGTAAACTTTCCATTTCTATGTAGCAACATACATGCAGCACCTGCATGTTGAGTATATATCTCCTAGTTAATTCTATATTCGAGAGCTTGAATTTTCCATCATAATTTCGCTGATAGAGAGTTGTTGCTTACAAGGAATCTATTGAATCAAGAGTTTCAAGTGATCAAGCTGAAATTATCCCTTTGAAAATTTTATGGACGCAATCACGAGTTAGTTGACCGTAATTGCATAACTGTTTCACAGATGATGACGTATATGTTCCAATTATCGTTATTACAATGCCGTCCCCCTTTCCCTGATTGTGACCTACCGAATTAGACTTATAAGTGGGGTTTTACTTACAAGAGTCACACGGCGGTAGCCAAATGAGGAGCAGAATCTGCTTATTCTTCTGGAGCACAAGGGATCACCCCCAGTTTTTAGTAGGGTTTGTATTGATCAGTCTTTAGCCAATGAGTTGTCAGTTTATTTTCGACTTATGAGTTTGAATGGCCTTTTGTTAACTTTCGCCTCTCTTTAAAGATGATTTCAACTTTCCTATTATCAACCTCTCCTTTCTAGGTACTACAATACCCACATACGGTCATGTAAGTTCACACTACACGGACTTCATTTACAGAGGTGTGCTTCTTAAACAAAAGTTGCCCCAACAGAGTTATGAAGAAGAACGACTTAAATCGACACGTCTTACATTCGCTAACATGAATTGATTAACCAATAAGATATTTTAGTGTCTCAACTCACTGGCGACATGTTTTCGCAGCCTTATTACATTATTAATTATAGTTCTCATACGCTACAGGTGTCAATAATTGACCGTAATGCACCTACTGCTTGTGTTTTTTGTGTTGCTTGATTTCAATATACACTACAAAGACACAAGATTCTGAAATGACCAATGTTTGCATTACTTTGTACCGGGAATGTTTCGTTAACGTTTGGTGGTTTTTCTTTTTGCCATAATAGTGATTGTCATTTTCCAATGCACGAGTCTTGATAACGTCCTTCTAGTTTTAAAAAAAATCAACAAAATAGCAGAATTACTATTTCGCCTACAAAAGACTTCAGAAATTCAAAAGTTGTGCCGAGTCTGGTTGAAAGCAACAACCAAACTGTGATTTGAATGGCTAAAAACATACATCTTTGAACAATCAATCAACATGAAATGACTGCATTAATAGTATTTCTTCACAAGTGGTTTTAAAATATCCTCAAAGATACCAGGCTTACAGTTAATTGCGTCATTCGAGCGTTACGACTACATCAGTGGCACTGGAAACACGTATATTTTGTTTACCATCAATTGTTTTTCTTCTGTAATTTTTCTATCATTTAAAGAAAAGTTTGATGTGTAATTTACATTATAGTAGAGCAAACTTATATCAGTGTAAGTATTTCAATCAAACGGATAAAATATATTCTACAACAGTTAATGCACTTCATTGTATGCAACAGATACCCCATACGATATTTATAATCCAAGCCTTAAAAATCGCGGTGTTACCAATTAGTGTAGATCATTTGTTATACAATTTGAACTATATAACTTAAAGAGCTTTGTTATTTTGAATCATAAAAGCTGTTTCTCTTTTAGCTCTTGGGGTTTGAAGAGGTAATGCTAGTGATATTTTCTTCCCAACCCTATTTGTTTGCAGAATATATATATATAAACATTTTTGTAATAGTGACATATCCATCACCTAACTTTAGTCTGTCTATTTCAGGATCAGTACGAATATTGTTATAAGTGTATCAAAGAGCTACTGGATGGAGATTCTCGAGATTCGTTGTATGCGAATATTTAGTGAAGTTCAAACTTTCTGCGATATTTAAGTGGTTTTTTTATTATTGTTCTTTATACATTATGTATGCTTATTGGCCTCGCAGTACTGCATCAGCATTTTTCATTGACATGTACAAGCAACAATGACATACAAATAGCAAACTTTATTTCGACAACAAACGGACAAAATAAACGCATACATTTTTTAGTATCTAAAGGATCAATTCTCTCGAGGATTAATTTACATCTTGTCCGCGAATGGAGCAGTTATTTTTACGATAAACGAAGGAACAATGAATATGTATGATTAAGCAAAATTTGTTTTCCCTGATAGATAGATTAATTGTTTTCGCAATTCCAATGTAGCAGAGAACTTTTTTGTTTGTTAGATTTTTCTTTTTTACTTGTTCACTGTAGGTGCTATTGTATACATACATATACACATATACATAGTATTTACTGTGACAGTCATGTTTATTATTTATTTTTCTAAATTGGATTCATTTGTTTTATCCATATAACAATACCGATACGTACATTATTTGTCATAAAAATAGATAGATATATATATATATATATATATATTGATTGTTAAGTTTCCACAAAAATACCAAATATTTGTTTGTATAAAGAAACAATTTTTTATACCAGACTGAGTATTCATTAATTTCTGTTATGATAAATGAACGCTGGTACTAAATTTGTCCTTCTCGTCGACCGAAATATGGACCAAATTGAAAAGCATTTGCATTATGCCGCAATGGTGTCGGTCCTAGTTTGCAGAAAAGAGTTCAAACAAACTATATATACTTGAAATATCCCAGTGGAGTATGACAAATTTGATTAGAAAAGACTAAATATTTCGACCAAATTAAGACTCATTATACATTCGTTACTACGGTAGTGCGATTCAATGGTTCTTTGCCGTGTTGTCCTTTTCCGTTAGCTATAGGTGTTTAAATATCAAAATATATTGTCGCTAGTAATTTCTTGTAACACAAAAAATAACAAAAATACAAATAGTCCAAATATTCAATTTCCAAATATTTATCTTAACCAAGCGTAAATATTGTAATGTACTGTATCATAATTTTATGATCTATCGCCCCGTAAGATTTATCGTTGGCTATTATTCAATCATTTTATATTTTAAAATATATATTTATATTAATCAAGATTTTAAATCCATCTTTTGTAATGTTTAATCATATTAAATCAACAAATATATGCCCACATGCATAACTGTTTATCTAGCAATATGTTATTACCATTTTTGATTTTATGATTTCATATACGTAGTAAAGGAGATATTTTATGTACACCTATTTTTGTGCCTTAATAATACATGATCTTGGTTGATTTTTATTTTGCTGCTTTATAATTACAGGTTTTATTACATATATACAGAGTAAAATGTGTTCAGCAACAAATATTTCAAATTTCATTTTTGAAAATCAAACTTTACTTCTGCACATACCAATAAACTAGGTATTGTCACAAAGAACATACACCATAAGGTGCAAATATATATAAAATATATTTCCTCAACTTTTGAAATTTTTTCATTTAAACTTTTTTTTCGATTTAAAGCTGTGTTTCTTAACTTTATTTATCAGTAAATTTTCACAGGGTTCACATATAAAAAAAAAGTTTAAGCCTCTAACATGTGCGACCATGCGCATGTTATTAATTATTATTGTTTTCTTATTATGTGTTGTTTTTGTGTTATATGAATGTTTTGTCTTTTTCGTGACAGATCTTTGTTAGTCTCTTAATTATAATAGCGACTCTAGAATTTCTCGTATTTCTTTCATATTTAACATTGTGTGATCCATTTCTTCTTTTAAAAATATGTGCAATCGGAAAAAGCTTATGGTTATTATAATACATGTATCCTAATAGTATCCCCACCTCAAACCATTTTTGCAAGATGATGGTATATAGTAATCAGGTTGTGCGTCAGTTTGCCGCCCGTTTGTCTGTTCATCCGCCCGTCAAACAAGTTATTAGCGAAATTGGATTAGTACTTTTTTTTTCTATCATACTAGATTTATCCCCCGTTTCTTTTGATCATACTGTGTACTTTCATAGTTAAAGAATCATTCAAATTAGTGTACATACGTTTTCAAAACAATTATCTCTGCAAGACCGTTTGTATATTTTCATATTTATATATATACACATTAAGGATGTACACCTCTGAGGAGCCAAAAAAATCTCATCTTCGCAAGCCAAGGGTTACGATCCACTTCCCTCCTCTCCACCCTTGGCGGATTGAGATATAATTTCGGAGACACAAGGTAATGATGTTCATTGGTTGCAGTCGAAACTCACTGCATCCAATCAAAAAGCGCCTATAACATGATCACGTGTAAATGTAGAAAGTGTATGTAAACAATTGCCACGTGCTTATTGTGCAACAAGTCTTTACATCCCTAAACATACGACTATATTTAGTGACAGACAATTTGAATGTTTTTAATCAACTAATAGAAGTTCCTGTCTATGTTTCTTGCACAAATGCATTAATGTCAACGTATATTTTCGTTTCCTGCTTTACCAAGTGTGTAGAAACTAGACGCTACCGTGTTTTTACCTCCAAATTGAAGAGTTCAAGTGCTATCATTGGTTAAGAATAATGTATTAGGAATGGGCGTGACTGTAATCTACCGATAGATGGCGCAACATTGTTATCACAAATGTTGGCTTAATCTGCCAAGGGTGGAGAGGAGGGAAGTGGATCGTAACCCTTGGCTAGCGAAGATGAAAAATTCTAGAATTAAACTTTTTTCTTAACCTGATTTTTGGGTTTATATGACTGTAAAAAAATAATTGGTGAAGAAAAAATCATATGGTGGTGCACTTTGTTTTGCTACGGCCCTTTAAAAGTACCCAATTTTGATGATTTTCCCATTTTTCATCAATTTTTACCTATTTTTGGCCTATTTTTGATGTTTATCGTGAAAAAAATCACAGTCCCACAATTAAACTTTTTTCATACTTTCAATAAAGATGTAGTGGACCAATCTAAATAAATTTAACTTAAAAGAACTATAGGTAGGTGTTAATATAAGGTAGTATTATCATATTTTGACGCTTTTTTGTGTCAAATTAACCATGCTGTCAATTTTGTGAATTTGTGATTTTTTCTCTGTTTTAAGAACAAAATGCATATTATTTCAACTTCTTTGTTATGAATGATTAAAAAAATACATATCTAATAAATTTGAAAAGAAAAAAGTGATATGGGATGTACATGTTTCTGGTAAAATCATTTCTTGTACCCCTTACCCATTTTCTCAAAATTTTGTCCAAAAAGACTGAGTCAGACTTGATTGGTAATAAAATTTGTAAAAATTGATTACTCACAAACTACTCATTGTAAATACGCAATTCTTTCACAGAGTTAAGTTTGATTATAACATTTTTTAAATTCATTGATATTTTCCACTTGTATCACATGTTTTGGAAATAATTCCAGAACGAGATTTCAACGATACTATAACGTCAGAAGAATACATCCTTAAATAAGACTTATCGTACATGTGCATAATACTGAAATTTGAGACGGCTCACAATTGTCAACAAATTGATCTTCCTTATTTCTTAAAACTTCTAATTCAAGTTTATTTGTTTGAGCGCTAAAAATAGGATGTTGATAGTATCTCCCCTTATGTCATTTCCTTTTACAATTTAAACCCAAGATGGATAATATATAATACCCACACAGAGTTCCTTTAATTTGTTATGCATGGATAGTTTCCGTTGATTAAAATCCTACAGGGTATATGTTAAAATTTAGAGCGAATATAAGTTCTTCCTCGTTTACTTTAGCCATAACGCAATGTATTTTGCTTCCACTTAAGGTATGTATTTTTTCTCTATTCATTGAACAACACTTGCTAAAATGATATGTTAAAAGTATTTCGATTGTTAATATGACTTGTGTATATCGATTTAATTTTAGTCATTGAAATGTTCAATCTTGATTAAATTATTCATTAATTGTTATATTTTTTGTTCGATATAGCAGTAAAAAAAGTAGAGAGTTAAAGATATGATTTTAATTAGATTGTGAAATGTTTAACTTCAGAATTATTCTTCTTAAATCCCCGTTCACCAGACTTTGCTGTTAGCTGCTAGCCAGTATTCTCTCTATCAGATTTATACAGCAGGGATTAAGTACACAAAACTATGCTCGTATTATTAGATTTGTCTGTTGCAATAGCAACTATAAAGAGTGACAGTTAATTGCTACATCATATGTATTTGTGTGCACTGATTTTTTGTCGACAATTAACGTACTATCTAGACTTTTTTACACCACGATATTATTGTCAATGCGGAATGATAGTTTTCAATAAATTAGGAGGGGTCTTTTAGCAATATGACCATATGTTATTGCAAAGCATGATACGTGTAATGCAAGGTATCCAATTTCAATTAAAGATATCTTGCAATTGGTGTGAGCTGTAAAGTATATGTACTTAATTGATTTACAATAAGAAAAATTACGATTTGTCTCTGACTTATAATTGTTTCACGACAAGTGTCAATAATTACATGCATATTTTAGGCAAAAATATAAATATAAACCTGTCTCAACAACTGATTCTTAACTCAGAAGGAGCTAAAATTGTTAGACAAGATGAGACTTGAGACTCTATACCCATGTCCATGAAACGTAATGCTGACTGAGCATATCTATCGTCGATTCTACATGCTGCTTAAGCTCAAGCTAAAAAAGGCAAATGTTACTTTCTATTATTTAACACATACTGGAAACAACCCACGACTTACATGTATCGTTCTTGAACAAGTACGCTGCTTTTCACCATCATTACACACATAGGAGGCGATCGAATGGAATATTTAAAGATGTAAAAGTCAATAAGCCAGATATCATTACATACGGATACATTATAAAATGTGCCTAACAACATGAAGAAGGAAGATCCGTAAATCAATATTAGATCATTATACAAATATTATTGTGTTCTTTAAACTAAATGCTTCCGCTTATAACAACAGAGACTGGCAATGTATTATACGGTATCATTTACTATTGAGTGTGTTTTATGTTGCGTTGCTTTACCTTCGAACCTTGTGTCCAATACCTTAAACTTTTCCTTTTTTGTAAATGGCTGTGTATAATTAAAACAAAATATGATGTGGTACGTTTGACAGTTGCTGTATATAACAAACCGCAATAGAACAAAAAGGCTGATACTGTGAGTACGTATACACAAATTGGTATAGACATATACATGTATATATATATACATTCTGCATCCAAGAGCCTTGCTTTTCGTTCAATGACAAACAAGACGGTTAAACTTCCAGCTATATCAATACATGCAATACACAAAGTCGATCTAAAATATTTCTTGGTTCCAAGAAAGTAATTCTGAAAATAACCGAATGTCGAATAGAACTCAACACTCTCATGTGGCACATTATTTAATCAATATATTTGTTAACCGAAACTTTCAGATTGTTTAAAATTGCCTATGTGTGTAGCACATTTAGGATAACTTACGAAAAATAGGAACTTTCTCTTGTTTAGATTTTATTTGCGCTCTTAAAAAGCATTAACGAACAGTCTGACAATTTGTCAAGCATCGTTAAATAAAAGTGTGTCGTATTACCCGTATCTCAGGTTGCTATCTTTATCCCATCACCTTTAACCTGGTAATAAGATATTTTCAAATATTTTCAACGAAGAAAAATATTTTGCTGTAACCACAGTTGATCTTTTTTGCTATAGGATACATACAGATTACTTTTTTTTTTCAGTCCCATGCCTTTTCCATATCGGCCCAGGTATTTATCTTTTTTATGCCGAGTACAAAATAAAATTTATATGACGAGAAAATGTATGGTTATTCTTTATAAACTGCAACTCTTACAACTGTTCCAAATGAAATATTTGGAGTAAAAACCATAATAATTTGTTTAATTTGAAGCGGACGACGTAAAAATTCCGCGAACCTGTATTCTGTATTCTGTATTTGCGTCATAAAAATAAAACTCTACGGAAACGCATTGTCAACGTCATAAACAAGGCGATATATGGTCATTACCTATATATCACTTATGAATATACGGTCAATGCAATTTGACTGCTCAAATAGCACAATTGCAACGTTAATTAGCCGATCACCCTCTGTCATGTCTTTGTGTGTCCGATATTAACAGACGACAAAAGAAATACCGGAAGTAACTTGCGCGAGAAGCACTGTAACGGGTTTTTTGCACGAGAGGCCCGTGATACGGGTTATCAGCCTGGGTGAGAATTTATGCAAAAACTATCATATTAATGCTAAGTATATGATAAAAATAGATAAATACAATATATATTATAAAAAAATACTGATATGGATTATTCGACTGTGTTTGCATTTATGGCTAGGTTAACGAAGTATATCTCTTATAGATGAACTAATTATTCAACATTGTTAAGTAGCGAATGCCAAGTACTTAACCTCTTTCAAGATTATGGTGGGCTTAAAGTTTTGAAATATTTAAGGTATTGCTGTGAAGGTCAAATTGCACTTGATGATTTCCAAAATGGATAGATGGGAATAGTTTTGCACCATTTCTTATGTAATAACTTGTTTTTGTGCATTTGTGTTCATAATTTAGATTTATTCAATCCTTTTTTCTAACTCTTTTATCTTATAAAACTTTGATATTCCTCTTGGTCATATTGTAGAAAACCCTATCAAAGATACCAGGCTTAAAGTCAAGTATACCATATATACCAGACGTCCATTTTATTCAAAACCGTATTGTATAACAGTTTGTTGTTGAGTTATGATTTCATAATTGTAAAATTATTTTTTTGCACTTTGCGTACCTTTGAAATTCGGATAAGATACGGAAATAGGAATGGTTTATCGAATGATTGGGTACTGAGTTCATAACCATTTATTGTAGAACTATTTTCATTTGTACAACTGTCAATAGAGTAGTGCAAACAATCTATGTCGGTCTTTTCAGTAACTAAAGACAATTTTGATTGATGGGTTGATTGAATGTTGGTTGATTATGTCCAATGGCAAATATTTCATGCATGTTCAGGACGAGAACAAATTAACAATAAGTACAATAGGAAGGTCCTGTTACAGAGGCCGTCCGGGATGAAGTTCGTGGAAATTTCTACTTCCACGGGAAAATAAGGGTATATTGGATAGGGACAGAAAATTAGCCTTGCAACAGGTCACCTTCGGACCCCTCAAAGAGTTGTTGCAAGTTTTCTAAACGTGCAGTAATGAGCTTGACACTCTCTTTACACGAGGCATCGGATTTAACGTCCCCGTTCTGACCGGACGTAAAGACAATTTTGGAACTGTGCAGTAATAGTGAATTGTTCAGAGAGGTGAATAAAGAAATATATTATGTTCATTGAAATATAGTAAAAAGATTGCATTTAAAAGAAATCTTCCTGTTTGTAATTGAAAAAATAATTTGTATCTTTTTAGATAAAAAAAATAGGTCAGCCAAAGAAGAAAGACTTTGGCCTCGGCTCTCACAAAAAATGAAATGGTTAGTGTTTTACTGGAGTACGATCCAACTACGTGTTAAGATCAAGTGAAATTGATTTAAATTTTAAACGTAGGAAAAAAATATTCCAAACAACAATGAGAGATACAAACCAAAGCAGACACTACAGTTAGGTTAAAAATCTAGATTCAACTGATGACCATAGTAGGTTCAATGTTCAGTTGGAATCGTATTTTTTCTCGTGAATCTGTTTAGAGCAGTTTTTCTTTTTTTAAATTTGAAAAATTAAATGCGAACAAATTGATTTACTGTAGACTTATTTTGCAAGTTTGTCATTTGTATGCATAAACTTTGTTTAATAATACACAAATGTTGAGCAAAAACGACACACACCATCTTTTTTTTTCAAATTCCGCGTTTTACGTGTGTCAAAGTTTCTCGATTACTATTATTTCTATTGAAATATAATCTTAACAACATTGTCTTAAAAACGTCCGGTTTTTTCAAATCTGAATCGGGTTTTAAAATGAAAATATGAACAAGAAAGACGATATTCTAAACCTTCAACGGTACGTTATTTATTTTTTACTCTTAACTTAGTGAAAAATAACTCATGAGACCCAAAACATATAACTTACTTATTAATTTTACCCCTTTTCATTTAAATATTGATTGAGTTTACCGCAATCTGGCTTTAAACCTAACCTTAAGAGTACGATATAAATCATGAGATCTTTTATAGAACATGATCATTAGAACTAAGAAGTGGAGACTTATTCATTTTATCCATGTTATGTTATATAAAAATAAGAAGGTAAGATGTAGTTTGATTGCCAATGAGACAACTCTCCACCAGAGACCAAATGGTATAATAATATAAGTTAACAACTATGCTTATTTTGTATAAGTCTGTTATATTTGATTTTTGTTATATGTTATTTGTCGCAAACTTAAATGACAATATACTTTGAATCAAATTGAAAATAAATTACAAAAATTCCATACATATGATACAAGCTTTACAATAATTACTTAAATGTAATAAATTCGAATGCTATGGAGTGACGGACAGATTCGATGTATTTCCATCAATCATGTCCAAGACATACCCAGATGTCGATATCGAATCGATTTCGATGAACTTATACACTCATAACATAACCAGATGTAGATTTTGATGACGACACCAATGACAAAACCTGGTTTCGATATCGACAATGTCGACTCGATATCGATAATGACTTAAGATAATGAATAAAAATCAAGACATATCAAGCTGATTAAATTAAGATCGAATATGAAGATTGATATTATAGAAGATGGCTGAATTGTAATTTATTTATTTGAAAAAAAAACAATCAGGTGGTCACTTCAATCTCCAAATTACTGTATCCTTTAAAAAAACAAATTAATGTATTCTTGTGTTCTTAAAAATAATAAAAATCTATTTTGTTGTATAACGATGACATTTAAGTGCTACTAAGTGAGATATGGTTGCATACGAA